CCACTGCACTCCAGTCTGGGCGACAGAGTGAGACTCCAACTCAAAAAAAAAATTTAAAAATAGGCTGAAAACGGAAAACAAAAGTATATACATGACTGATGAAAAGGTAATATTAGTTATCAGGGAATTGCACATTAAAACCACATTGGAATAATTTCATCAATAGAATGGGTTAAATCAAAACAGACAACACCAAATTTTGGTCAGATGGATTCTGGAGTACCTGAAATCATCAAGTTCTTAGTGGGAATGCAAATGGTACAGAAGAAAAATTGCTCCCATAACTCCTGTCAAGTGTCAGCTCTTAAAACTAGCTCACCTGTTGCCAGGAGACTTCAACATTTGAGATGGGGCAACTCAGTGACATACTGACAAGATGGAACTGAGTGAGGGGCTAAGATGAACCTGGTGAACACAGGCTGACAGCATGAAGCGACTGAAAACTTGCTTACTTAATGCTCCTTAGGAAGAGTTACCTGTTTGTATTCCTCGACACAGCTCTGGCAGCAAAACCTCTTCTGCTGGCCTCCTGTGCCCAGGATGCTGCTCCCCGTGCTCTTACTGGGCAAGTACTCTCCACACTGCTCGCAGCAGTTCATCAAGAGACCATTGGCCAGCCTATACTCATTAAAGCAATGGTTACTGCATAGCTTGTGTGTTACATTATTTACACTGACCTCATGACGAACCTAAAAGAGAAACCAGAATTTATTAACTAAAGTAAATGAACAACATTAGCACGGTAGATGATAACATAACTCATTTCTGCAACAGAAGCAAAAAACCAGCAATAACATCTCAGTGGAAGATGTATTCAAGGAAAAGATGACTAAAAAGCACATTTCATTATTCTTGCATTTTTTGGATTTCTTTGTAGAAATCAACTACAAATGTGAAAAAGTACGATACATACAACAAAAAGCAATAATCATTAGTAACTTCCCTAGAGACATATAGAGTGACAGAAAATGAACAGATCTAAATTTTTTTGGGGGGGTGGGATCAGAGTCTTACTGTCGCCCAGACCGGAGCGTAGCAGTGCACTCACGGCCACTGCAGCCTTGACCTGCTGGGCTCAGGCGCTCCTACCGCCTGAGCCTTCCCAAGCAGCTGGAACCACAGATGTGCACCACCACGCCTGGCTGATTTTTTGAGACAGGTCTTGCCAAGTTGCCCAGGCTAGTCTTGAAACCCTGAGTATAGGCAATCCTTTTGCCTCAGCCTCCCAAAGTGCTGAGATTATAGGCTGAGCCACCAAGCATGGCCAGCTCTGGTTTTGATATGATCTGATGTGACACAGTTTTAATATGACCTGCTTTGAAGAAATGAATTGGCAACTTTTTTTTTTAAGACACAGGGTCTTGGGGTCTTGTCCTGTCACCTAGGTTGGAATACAATGGTGCAATTACAGCCTCAAACTCCTGGGCTCAGGTGAGCCTGCTTCCTCAGGCTCCCAAGTAGCTGGGACCAGTAGTATGAACTACCACGTCCAGCTCCAAGATTTGGCAATTTTTAGACAGTACTGTAAAAAACATTCACTGCCCTCAAACATTTGTGGGAGGATCTAAGGGAATCAACATTATGCAAATTCAGGGTGGTGTCTGTACAATCATAAGTAAGGTAATTCTTGCTGTGGTAACTGTGATAAAATCATGTCCTTGATTTGCATGGCTCAGGGGAATACCACCAAATTTAGACAGCATGGACTGTATAAAGTGAAGAATGCCTGTGTGTATGTCTCCTGCTCTCCCAGCAACTGGGAAGACTGCTTCTAAATCAGTGTTAAGTACACAGTATACACTCATTCCATTATTCCACAAGCTCCTGTATCTAGATGTGTTGCCTCCTTCATGTCCTTAAACTACATTTTTATTTAGCGTCACTAATAAGGACAAAATCCACCATAAAATAACTGCCTTGCTTATGAGCAGTCAATTCCACAGGAATAGATGTCAACTTTCCATTCCACGTAAAAATGGGTATCAACTTATAAGACAGCTTTAACATGCTCTTTCTCTCATCCAGGACATGTGCACTATGCAGACAGCAGAGCAGCTAACAGTGCCTAAAAGCCAGGATGATCCCTGTTGGCCTAACAACAACGTAGGTATAACAAATTCAGACCTCGGCTAATTTACAACAGACCGCACATCTTGACTTGGTAGAAACTCCTTTTCTAAGATTCTGGTTGTCTTCACAGGGGGGCAGACAAGATGTACTACGAAATTCTTGGAAGGATTTGCTTGATTCCACTGGAGGAACAGTAGTAGGCTTCTTAGTAGATGTGTCTCTGAAACACGAGACAGACACACAATTTAAGAACACAACACTTTGAAGTCAAATATGTGCCGGGTTCGCTGGCTCAGCCTGTAATCCCAGCACTTTGGGAGGCCGAGGTGAGTAGCCTGAGCCCATGGGTTCAAGACCAGCCTGGGCAATTTGGCAAGACCTCGTCTCTATAATAAATAAATAAAAAATCAGCCAGGTATGGTAGTGCATGCCTGTAGTTCTGGCTACTTGGAAGGCTGAGGTGGAAGGATCGCCAGAGCCCAGCAGGTTGACGCCAGGGTAGCTGTGAGCATGCCACTGCACTCCAGCCTGGGCGACGGAGTGAGACTCCAACTCAAAAATAAATAAATAAATAAAAATGAAGTCAAATACATGAATAATAACTACCATTTTTCCCTCTTATGATTTACTCCTAGGAGTCAGCTATAATTTTTTAGATGTAGCAAAATCCATTTTTGGCTTTATTGCCAAGAGCTCTTAAATAACATGGAAAGAAGAGTCAGAGGTAAAAACCTTGTGTGGGCCAAGAACCTTACCACAAGTTCTTAAGATGTTTAGAAGCCTTCAAAAATGCTCACTGACCTAGAACATGTGTGGGAGACCCAGGAAATCAACATTCTTCTTATTAAGGATGGTGTCTGTGTGTCTATAAATAGTGAGGTGACCGACACAATACTGTGTAATAACTTTACAGCGAGAGATGGAGGACAGAGAAAGCAGAGGTGAAGAGGGCAGTGGGCTACACCCCATGCTCTACTTCCCAGACCCTAGGAGATGCAGCACAGGAAGAGCTCAGGCTTAGCCAACCTGACGCACCTGTGACAGCCCCCGCCCCTGAGTGGACCCAGCTCTGCAGTCACATTCGGAACATTTATGCTGCTTGCGTCCAACCATGGAGAGAGACACTGAAGGCACTACTTACTTCTTACACATCACACTTCGTGTCTTTCGAGTGCGTTTGTGGGAGAAGGAAGAGAGGCAGGTGGTAGAACAGAAGAGGTGGGCAGATCCTTTCCGTTGATAAGCTGTCTGCCCCTTCTGTAAAGGACTTCTGCAGTTTGCACATGTGATTTTAGCTGGTTTAGCAGGTTGCTGCTGAGCAGAAGGTTGAAAAATCTGTTTAGGAAGGAAGGCCACTGGTGACAAAGACTCCACCCCGGGTTGTTTCTGATTACGGGGAAATGAAGCTGACTGGGAGATCCAAGAATCTGGAACATGAAACGCAAGAAAAAATCATGAGAAAATTTATACCAGAAAATGTCTATGTTTTCATTTAAGAGTTGAAGAGACTACTGAGGGTGCTCTAAGACCAAACGGCCTCTAAAAATTAGCTGGGCATGGTAGCACACGTCTGTAGTTCCAGCTACTTGAAAGGCTGAGATAAAAGAATCACCGGTGCCCAGCGTGCCACTGCACTCCAGTCTAGGCGACAGAGTGAGACTCCAACTCAAAAAAAAAAAAAAAGGCCAAATGGCCTTGACATGCCATCCTGGGGCACTACTCACTCCCTGGCGCCAATAGCAATCATGAAACAAACAGCGGTGCCTGGAGCTGTGTGACATGGTAGCCACAGCTGCTAAGTCAGACTTCCAAATCCAGAACACATCTTCTGAGCTTACGGAGGGTACAAGCATGCTGGGCTCCTGGTCTTGCTTGTCTCACCCAGAAACTAGAGTGATACCTGACTCATCAGAGTGCCATGATACAAACACTGCATACAGCGAAGCTCTGCTGGGCGCCTGGGGCACACTCAAACCCGCTAGCCACTTTCTCTCCTTTTTTTTTTTCTGAGTTGGAGTCTTACTCTGTTGCCCAGACTGGAGCGCAGTGGCATGCTCCCAGCCACCTGCTGGGCTCCGGTGATCCTTCTGCCTCAGCCTTCCAAGTAGCCAGAACTACAGGCATGCGCTACCATGCCCAGCTAATTTTTGATTTATTGTAGAGAAGAGGTCTCGGCAAGTTGCTCGGGCGGGTCTCGAACCTGCGGGCGCAGGCAATCCACTCGCCTTGGCCTCCCAAAGTGCTGGAATTACAGGCTGAGCCACTGAGCCCGGCCTTACTTTCTCTTTCATAGAAGGAGCTATTAATAGTTATACGCTAAAGAAAAGGAGACACCAATACGTAAGTAGCTACCGGAAAAGCTGACCCTCCAGAACCCATGAGGAACATAACCACATAGTTTACACATGATGTCCATCTCCTTAACAGTTTCCACCAACACTGGAAAAATTTCAAGCATACAGAGAAGGAGCCAATCACCCAGCTGGTGCAACTATGTTACCTTTTAGCCACATCACATTTTCCCATCTAGCCTTCTTTCTTTCTTTTTTTTTTTTTTTTTTTGAGTTGGAGTCTCACTCTGTCGCCCAGACTGGAGTGCAGTGACCACTCCCGGCCACCGCAGCCTCAACCTGCTGGGCTCTGGCGATCCTTCCGCCTCAGCCTTCCCAGTAGCCGGAATTACAGGCGTGCGCTACTACGCCCGGCTGAATTCTTTGATTTATTGTAGAGATGAGGTCTTGCTGTCCAGGCGGGTCTCGAACCCGCAGGCTCAGGCAAGTCACTCACCTCAGCCTCCCAAAGGCGCGGGATTACAGGCTGAGCCTCCGAGCCCGGCTTAGCCTTCTTTCTGAACTCATCAATCCCTCTTTTTCTGTGCACTGCAAGTAAACTGTAGCCTTTAACACAGGGTCCTGCTGAATACTTCAGACAAAACACTTGAATGCAAGTCTTCCTAGTTTCCCCAGCCTTCTCAAGAATCACTTCACAGTACTGATACAGGTGGTGGGTTACTCAGGAAAGACTCAGCTTTCCTAACCTCACACAGGGACTCACAAACGGGACAGTATCACTTGAAGGGCAGTGTTCTTACCCTTTAACGTTCATGTAGAGCCAGCCAGGAACCCTGATGAAGTGGAGACACTACATGGGGAGATGTGGGCGGGAGGCTATCTGAATTTCTAGCCAACTCTCAGATGATGGTGAAACTTTGAGAAACAAGGCCCTGGAGTAAAGAATTGGTTTGTAATCTCTCTTCAAGAATAGTTTTTGTCATTCACAAGACGCCTGGGCCCCAATCTACCTGTCATGGCTCCAAAGCCTTCACAAAATAATACCAGCAGTGCAGGATGACTCACGTCTATAATCCCAGCACTTTGGGAGGCTAAAGTGGGACGACTGCTTGAGCCCAGAAGTTCGAGATCAGCCTAGCCAACATAGCAAGATCTCCCCCTTTTTTTTTTGAGTCAGAGTCTCATTCTGTCGCACAGGCTGGAGTGCAGTGGCACGCTCACAGCCACCAAAGCCTCAACCTGCTGGACTCAGGTGATCCTTCTGCTTCAGCCTTCCAAGTAGCTGAAACTACAGGTGCGCAAGACCACACCCGGCTAATTTTTTTTATTGTAGAGAAAAGGTCTCGCCAAGTTGCCCAGGCTGGTCTCAAACCCATGGGCGCAGGCAATCCTCTCGTCTCGGTCTCCCAAAGTGCTGGGACTACAAGTGGGAGCCACTGTGCCCGGCCATTTCATTTTTTGAGTCTCACTCTGTCGCCCAAGCTGGAGTACAGTAGAATGATCACAGCTCACTGCACCCTCAACCTCCTGGACTCAGGAGATCCTTCCGCCTCAGCCCCCTAGAAGCTGGGACTACAGTGAGCCACCTCACCTGACTAATTTTTCTCTTTTTGTTTTTTTTTCTGAATTGGAGTCTCACTTCGTCACCCAGGCTGGAGTGCAGTGGCATGTTCATGGCCTCTCCAGCGTCAACCTGCTGGGCTCCAGCAATTTTTCTACCTCAGCCTTCCAAGTAGCTGGAACTACAGGTGTGTACTATGATGCCCAGCTAATTTTTTTTTTTTTTTTAAGTTGGAGTCTCACTCTGTCACCCAGACTGGAGTGCAGTGGCCACTCCCGGACACTGCAGCTCCGACCTGCTGGGCTCCGGCGATCCTTCCGCCTCAGCCTTCCAAGTAGCTGGAATTACAGGCATGTACCACGCCCGGCTGATTTTTTGATTTATTGTAGAGATGAGGTCTTGCCAAGTTGCCCAGGCGGGTCTCGAACCCACGGGCTCAGGCAGTCCCCTCACCTCTGCCTCCCAAAGCACGGATTACAGGCTGAGCCACCGAGCCCGGCTAATTTTTCGATTTATTGTAGAGCCATGATCTCGCCAAGTTGCCCCGGCTGGTCTCAAACCCACGAGTTCAGGCAATCCACTCACCTTGGCCTCCCAAAGTGCTGGGATTACAGGCTGACCCACCAAGCCCAGTCTAATTTTTCTATTGTTTTGTAGAGATGAAGTCTTGCTCTGTTGCCCAGGCTGGTCTCAAACTTCTGGCCTCAAGCTATCCTCCTGCCTCAGCACCCCAAAGTGCTGGGATTACAGGCATGAGCCACCAGGTCCAACATGAAATTTTTTTTTTTAATAGAGATGGATCTCACTATGCTGCCTAGCTGTCTCCAACTCCTGGCCTCAAGTGATCCTCCCACCTAGGCCTCATAAAGTGCTGGATACAGGCGTGAGCTACTGCACCAGTCAATTATTTTGAGTCTTTGTAGAAACAAAGTCTCACTATATGGCCCAGGCTGGTCTCAGACTCTTGGGCTCAAGCGATCCTTCCACTTTAGCCTCCCAAAGGGACTACTAGCATAAGCCACCATGCTAGGCCAAAACTGCCTTTAAACAACTTTGGCAAAACTCAATTATGCCCACAATTTGAGTGGAATGACACTATAGTGTCTAACTACAGGATGCTTTTTTATGGTTAAGTATAAATCTATATCTTGCCACCACACTGAAAAAACTTCTATTTACCTAAACCCACCATTAAATACACATCAATTTACTCCATACGGAAGAAGATGGTCTTGAAGATTGAAACATAAAAGAAATATACAGCAAGCCTTCCAGTCTTAACTCCACTTAAGAGCTTATATTATATAAGATGGAATTCATGCTTTCATAAACAAGCACAAGTAACTTCTAAAACAACCAACAAATAAACACCCAAAATTTGGGAAAGAACTACAAAACAACTAAGCCAGAGAGTGAAAAAAAGAAACAGACTCAAAAGGATAATCTTCAATGGATAGCATTTCAAAGTCTTTAACACCTTCCTCACGCTTTTAACACATTCTTCAATACAGAGATCACAAGTTTTTGGTTATTCCTCAAATTTAACTACTGTAAACAAAATATGTACATAGCAATAAAAGATTGACAGAGAGGAATTTGAGCAAGTTCATTAAAAAACTGCAAATATGGCCAGGCTCAGTGGCTCAGCATGTAATCCCAGCACTTTGGGAGGCCGAGGCGAGTGGATTGCTTGAGTCCACAGGTTTGAGACCCATCTGGGCAACTTGATGAGGCCTCATCTCTACAATAAATCACAAAAATTAGCTGGGCGTGGTGGGGTGTGCCTGTAGTTCCAGCTACTTGGAAGGCTGAGATGGAAGGATCGCTGGAGCCCAGCAGGTCGACGCTGGGGTGGCTGTGAGTGTGCCACTGCAATCCAGTCTGTGCAACGAAGTAAGACTCCAACTGGGAAAAAAAACAACAAAGGCAAGAGGCTGAAAGCAAACAAACCAAATCTTCATAGTGGTTGCTTCTGTTTACTGGGATTGGGCAAAAGATATAATTTTTTTTTAAGTGGGATTTCCCTTTTGTCATCCAGCCTGGAGTGCAGTGGCACTATCACAGCTCACTGCAGACTCAACCTCCTGGGCTCAGGACGTCCTTCCACCTCAGTCTCTGGAGAAGCTGGCACTACAGGAACATGCCACCACGCCTGGCTAATTTTTTACTTTGTGTAGAGAGGAGGTCTCACTTTGTTGCCTAGGCTGGTCTTGAACTCCTTGGTCAAGCAATCCTCCTGCCTCAGTCTCCCAAAGTGCTGGGACTAGAGGCACGAGTCACCATGCCTGGCCTTATTTTATTTCTAAGACTTTTTCCCAAATGTTCTGTAATAAGCACATACTATTCTCATAACCAAAGGAAAAAAGGAGCCGGGCTCGGTGGCTCAATCTGTAATCCCATGCCTTTGGGAGGCCGAGGTGAGTGGACTGCCTGAGCCTGTGGATTCGAGACCTGCCTGGGCAGCGAGACCTCATCTCTACAATAAATCAAAAAATCAGGTGGGAGTGGTAGCGCATGCCTGTAATTCCAGTTATTCGGAAGGCTGAGGTGGAAGGATCGTCAGAGCCCAGCAGGTCGAGCCTGCGGTGGCCAGGAGTGGCCACTGCACTCCAGTCTGGGTGACAGAGTGGG